TGTCCCTGAAACAGCACTGAACAAATAAAGAAACTTTTGCATTTAAAAAAAGACCGAAATGCATGTATTTAGAATAATTTAGCTTGGAGTTTCCAATAGCTATGCTATGTGTGAAAGATTTGTGCGTAATTACAGGCGACTTTTTTTAAGACAAATCCACAAAGTGCACTATACCTCTTTGCTCGGGTGGAGAAGTATGGCAAACCCTTCTAAAAAAAAAACAAATTATAGGGTACTCTCCCTTTCTTTTCTCTCTACCGGATATGTTGTAATCTCTTTTCCCACTTTCAATCGATATGAAACAGAAAACCTGCTATTACTTTCCCAGGCTCCCTTTCTTCCTCTGCCTAACTCATTCACACCTCTGCCTCTCTGTGACTGAGTGTCGCAGCTCAGCCCTTCTCTCTTTCTGCTGCTCTGCCTGTATTCAATAGGGGGTTCAGTCGTTTACCATTCTCTCTGTGCGTCTGCATGAGTAAAGCACTTTATTGCCCATGTGTGCAAGAAGCACAATGGAATTCTAATGTACGTTTATCTATAGTAGTTGCATTGCGAGCTATTCTTAATTATAGGGGAACTTCTGACTATCTGGAAAAGTAAAACTTCGTTATAAATAGGCTACAAATCGAATATTGATCTATATGTGTATATAGGTCTTGCATTATTTTAACATTTTAATTAAAACTAAATATATTGTTTTTTATATATAAATTAAATTAATTAAAATATGTTATAGGACGGAAAAAAATAACTAATCACTATGAAAAAACAAAACAACTAATCACTAAATCACTCTTATTTTAAAACAGCAGACAATATAAGCCTACAATACAACAAAATAAAGCAATACAAAAAAATAAATGAATTAATAAATAAATAAAGGTCTGGCTGGATAGACAGACACACAGATTGGCATGCAAATTGCAAGTTTGCATTTGCACTATCGCATAGCTGTACATTGCGTTTTGAGTTATAAACCCAGACCTCTTTCATTGGATGTGGCGTTTAATCTGTGAAAACGTAAATAAATAGCATATGCACATCATAAATGTGCATTAAAATCCAGACGCAGTTCTGATTACGCAAATCCACTATTGGCCACCCACCGTGTCCCGTACTCACTTGTTGATTCACCGTTCCTCACAATAAAGAAACAGCGACACCGTGTGGTAGAGTGGAGAATAGTCTGACCAGCAGCGAGTACTGACCTGACTGAGCTCTCTCTTAACTTACTTTTATATTTGAAAGATGTTCTGGATCAGTGCAGGCACGAGAACTGAGTAGGCATATAAATTACCCAATAGCTGACTTTCCAATAGTGTGGCATTTAATATTTGGCAAGTTCCCAATTGGCTATTTTATAAGATTCTATGAAGCAGGAAATGTCACAACCTTTTTTTTGTCTTTTTTTTTTTTAAATGATGTTCAAAGGTGTGAGTATTTTTTTGCTCCAAAGTTTTAGGTTTCAAGCTAATACTGCTAATACTATAGTGTATTTCAGACTTTCATGATAGGCCGTATGAAAACAGTAAGTTGATATTCTACTAAAGCAATAAGCTTGTTAGAAAAATAACAAAATATTTTAGCAGGCAACTGTGTTTACAAGGGAATTTGTGATGCTTCAATAGAAGATGAAGACTAGTAAAACTTAAGCAGGAAACAATCATTAGTGTTTGTATTCTGTTGTTGTGTGTTGAATCAGCAGAAGTGCAGGTTAAGTGAAAGTCACAGTAGCAGAACAGTCATGCCGCTTTAAAAGAGCAACAAATTCATAAGTAGGGCCTATTCATTTTCTAAAATGACTAAATTAGATCACACATGTTTTTTTGTTTCTTGGCAGTAGAATGTTATATTCTTATCCTGCGTGTCAGCTTTTCTCGCCACTGTCCTTGGTGCTGAAGTCATGGACAAACTGGAATAATGTCATTATCACAGGTCTCAGAGAAAAGGCAGGTTTGCAACTCTTGGTAGATTAAAGTGTTTAATGGTGACCAAATCTTGGAATATCTAAAAATGTATGACTTCTGAGGTCTGATCTTTTTTTTTTTTAAGTATCCTTTTATATTTCAGTTTATTCAATAATTCAGCTTATTCTGAAATGTTAACAAATATATTTTTATTTGAAAGTTCACCCAAAAACGAAAATTTGCTGAAAATTTACTCACCCTCAGGCCATCCAAGATGAATTTGTTTTCTCATCAGAGCAGATTTGGAGAAATTTGGAATTACATCACTTGCTCACCAATTGATCCTCTGCAGTGAATGGGTGCCGTCAGAATGAGAGTCCAAACATCATAATAATCAATAAATAATACACATGACTCCAGCAGTCAATTAACATCTTATGATGGATTTGTTTCTTACAAACTTGCAGCTTTTCACTTTACAAGATAGTAATTGATGGACTGGAGAGGTGTGGATTATTGTGATGTTTGTATCAGTTGTTTGGACTCTCATTCTGACGGCACCCATTCACTGCAGAGGATCCATTGGTGAGCAAGTGATGTAATGCTAAATTTGTCTCAAATACTAAGAGTGAGGTTTCCTCAAACTGTGGCTGCAACACATCATTACACAGACTCTATTTTAGCACTGATGTGTTGTGGGTTGCTTCCCACTTGCGTGGTGCAAGAATACTTCAGAGTTTTCCATCAGTGTTGGGTTTTATTCGATTCACGTAGGCACAATGGATTTTTATGAGACTGACCAGTGATGACTCACACATGTGAAATGCACAAATACAGAACTTAGGTCAATTTAGAACCACTAAAACAGGAAATGCATGTGCATGTCAGTGTTCAAGTTTCTCATGTCCTCTTTGTCATCAGCAAAGGTTAATGTCACAGATGAACTTGTTATTTTACCTCTTTGGTGGTAATGTCATAACTCCGCCTACATCTGTAGTTAGTCATGTTAGTGGGTTTTTTTTTTGTGCATGTAAAAATATGGTACAGTAGATTGTCATTAGTCAAGCTCCTTATCTCCTTATCTTCTCATTTTGGGGTGAAATAAGAATAAGACAGTCATGGCATAAAAGCCACGTGTGAGGTGTTCTCAGTGTTGTGGTATATGAATAGGAAGTAAACTGTTTCCTCACATACAACAAGAGCTGTGTGCAGATATACAAAAAAGAAAAAAGAAAAAAATCCTTTTATGTGCATCTGACTGAGGTATGAGGGTTGCAGAGTCTGTAATCTTAGAACGCAAATATGGTTTTATTGGTTTGCTAAAAAGAAGGAGAAAAATATTTATTTATTTATTTCCTTGCTTACTTGTCGGAACATACATCACTTCTCAAAATGTAATCATTCGACCAAGCGATTTCAAAGACGTCATTCACTGGCTTTGCTGATTGTAATGGGAAGTGCTCCAGTAACGCGATGTGAGGTAGGTCGCGTGGGCGGGACTTCATGAGCGCTGCGCTCCTCTGTCATCTGTAAAGTGTGAATGAAGTGAAGCGGATTTGCATCAGACAAACAAAGGTAAGCTGATTTAAAGTGTTCTGTGAACGTTCAGAGCGTGCTTTAGTCAATCTCATGGCACAAAAATCTGCCTCCAACAAATTTATTCTTATGTGTTAGTAAAATTATGGCGATGCAAATGTATTATTTACAAATTGTTTACCTCAGTCAAGGTGCTTTACATTGTGTCACCATAATGGATCTAAAAAATGTGTTAGTTGACTATTTTAATATAGTCATTCAAAATGGATGTTGTTATATTAATTTAAACATGTGAAATATAAAAGATATAATAATATTTTATATATTCACAATATTTATGTTAAATATAATATATTTATTAAAGTAAAAAAGCATTGCTCACAATCATTTTTGAAGCACTCGTTCAGAGGAAAGAAGTATGAATTAAACATGATTTCAAAAAGGATTTTATAATACAGAAATGTATTTAAAATGTATATTTTAAACAAGCTAAATTTAACAGCTTTTGATCAATATTGGACCAAGTTTACATACCTTAAAAATAGACATCATGTACATCAAGCTGGTTTTAGCTGGTCGTCCAGTTTGGTCATAGCTGGTTTTAGAGGGGTTTTGACCACTTCTTTAGCTGGTCAGTCTGGTCTTAGCTCCTCAGGCTCGAAAGTCCAACCAGTTAAAATCAGCTTGGCCAGGCTTAGAAACCAGAAACAAGCCAAAATCAGCCAACCAGTTTAGCTGTTTTTGGTTGTTGTTGTTTTTGGTTGTTGTTGTTGTTTGTTTGTTTGTTTGTTTGTAGGGAGGTTTTATCTATTGTCATTAATAAGTAAAGATCAAATTTTTAAATATTACGTGACTGAAACCCGTTAGGTTCAGATGTTTGAAATCCCCATGTGGGTAATTATTTTGCCCGTCATTGCCATTGTTTCTGTACGTATTTAATTGGTCAGTGAAGTGAAACCAGAATGACCACATCCTTTTTTGATGAATGTCTGAATGCATTGAAGATTTCTTTATTCATTCATTCATTCATTCATTTTTCCTAAAACTCTTTATTAGGGGTCGTGTGCGTTGTTGGCCCTGTAAATTATCTGTATTGTTCATGTATGTTATCATATAGTCAGTCACTACATCTGTCACTGGCAGTTCCCTTTTCTTCGTATCAAATGTAATATGAAACATGGGTGGAGCTCGAGTTTTGGCCTCCATAAAGGTGTGACGTCCGGTTTTTATTTCGCACGATAAAAGAGCTTACTATGAGGTGATTTACTGCAGTTTGTGACAAGCATGAGTTTCTGAGCGATGTGGGCCTTTCTACTCCGCACGCTGGTGAAAGGTGAAAAAAATGAGAGTCTAAAAATAGCTGCTTAGCTACACATTTGTATTGCAGGAAACCAACAGAGTCTAGTCTTCAGTCTGTCTGTGTATGAGAGCGAAAGACAGCATTTGAATGGCAAGGCAGTGAAGTGCCTGTTTCTTCCTTTTAGCACAGGTAGACACTCATACAGATGATCTGACAGGAAAAGAGACTTCCTTATGAGCAAGACTGTTGTCAAGATTATTCGAATACCTTCTGCTCGGAAACCGACTGGGATTACCACAGTTTCACAGTTCCTTGTAACAGCGGTTTTATGCATAGAAGGTAGGAATTTACTGTGCATTTCTGTTTTGCATGTTATTTTTGTGTATAGTATAATAATAATCAAAGAATAATTTATTAAAATGTACTGTTTTGGGTGGGAAGAAAGCAGAAGCATTTGTCTTTGCAGAGTGTCAAAATGAAATAAAAATAAGGTTGTTTAGTGCAGTTGTTCTCAGTTGAGCATCAAGTGGCGACCCAATGCAATGGCAAAACGCTTAGTATAGGGAAGTAACCTTAAAATAAATGAATAGTTATAAATGAATATGTGACATTAACTAGCTGCATAATTTGTAAAATCTTAGAACTGTACGTTTTGTGTATATGGATCACTCTTAATTGCAATGTAGATATTTCTGTAAAGCTGCTTTGAAAAGATATGCATCGTGAAAAGCGCAATACAAATAAAAGGGAATTAAAATCACACATTAAGTTTATTAATAGTATACGATAAACCGCACAGGCCCAACAATATGCAACATTCTTAAATTAAACAATTGCATAAACAACGAAAGTGTGATTTAAATAACAGAACAAACACTATAGTATATTAAAAACAAAGTACCGTACAGCCTTTGTCATGACAACAAAAGATATAGGAAGCATTTTCTTCTTCCTTTTTAAAAGTTGCTTATTTGTTTTGCTATCCTGTGCGAGATTATGTGATGAATTGCATTTTATTATTTGCATTTCAAATTAGTTTTTTGCCCCGCCATCTGCGGCCTGTTTTTGGGTTGCGAATCGTCAGTTGAGAATCACTGATTTAATGTGTTTGAAGCTCATTCATTTGTTAAATGTAGATATATAACTATGTCTAACGCATGATTTATGAGAAATAACAACATTTCTGTCAACATGAAAACCCCTGAGGTTTTCACCCCTTTGAATTCTGCTTCCTGTGCCGAGAACTGTAGGGTCTTTTCTGCAGCCATGTTGTGCATGCAGAAAAAGTATATCGTGCATTGTGATATATTGCTGATGTGTCTGTGTGCTTACACAAGAGTGTGTTCTCTCTTTTTTGTGCTTGCAGACATGAAGGACCTTTCTAACTGACTCATCCATGTCATGTGGATATTATCTGAGCTGTGAACCCCACCATGGAAGAAACATGTACTAAAAACACTCTTTTCTGACACTTGCTAGTCTGTTATAGATTACCGAGTTCCGTTTCATACATTACGTTTAGTTTTATTATTGCACGGAAACATTCTTTCTGAGGGTTTGATGTTGATGTTAAAATGGTCTAAGCTTTACATTTATTTCAGTTGTATTTTATAGTCTGGATTTCTTCCATTTTAGTAGTTTTATTCACCTACCATAGTATAATATTTATTTAATAGTGTACACAATGGGAGTACACTATAGTATATTACTGTAGACTACAGTTTATTACTATTCAAAATCAGTAGGCTTTTTTAATATAAATTTATATTTTTTATTATCATAAAATGAAAATAATAATAATTTATCCTGGTTTTTCATTAACAATATTAAGCAGCACAACTGTTTTCAACATTAAAAACAATAAGAAATGTTTCTTGAGCAGCAAAACAGCATTTTAGAGTGATTTCTGAAGGATCATGTGACACTGAAGACTGATGCTGAAAATTCAGCTTTGAATCACAGGAATAATTAGCCTACGCTTTACAATATATTAAAATAGAAAATGCTTATTTAAAATGGCAATAATAGTTTGCATTAATGCTATATTTATTGTATGTTTGATCATATAAATTAAGTCTTTGTGAGCATCCCTAGTAAAAAAAAAAAAAAACACATGCCATAATTTATTTAAAATATTATTTAAAATTTATTTCATTTTAAGTATACTTCAAATCCATTAACATATTTATTGACACATCACTTAAGACTTACTGATATAAAATTATAATTAAACTTTACTTGGAGTATTTCTTTATTGCACAATGCACATTTCTTAATATTATGCCTAAAATGTGTTTTAATATCACTATTAATAAGGATTGTATGATCTCTGTATAATATCTAATGTCTTTAAATGCAAGATATTTAAAGTGTACAGAATATCTCTTTGGATTTGAGACTTTAGTCTTTGCAACTTTACAGATCTTCTTTATGCACCAAGAGCTTGTAACACTTCAAAGAGAAAGGAAAACTTGAAATCGCATCATATGACTCCTTTAATGCACTTTAATTGTGTGGAAGTACACAATCAAAGTGCATTTTTTGGTATACTAAACTGGTATACTTAAAAGTAAAACTTTTAAGTATACCAGTTTAGTATACCAAAAGTACAATTACAGGGTATTTTTATTAAGCACATTAATATGTAAATGTTTTTGTAGAATACTTAGCACAAAATAAATGTATTACAAATACATTTTAGTATATTTTTTTCTCTATAGGGATAAGAGACTTAAAAAATCTGACCCAAAACTTTTGAACAGTATTGTATATATTAATACTTTTTCTTAAAAGCTTAAATCTGCAAATTTAGGACTGAAGTTTTCAAACTGAATTGTTCATGTTACATGAGAATTAAAGGAGCTATGTGAACTGTTTTGCAGTCGGTGATGTGTCCTCAGTCGTGGAGTCTAATCTCTACCACAATGTCCATTCCATCCTCAGAGAACTGGACTGTAAACCTCAGGCTGGATCAGCCTGCAATAAAGGTACCTGCTTTACTATGACAATCTAAACTAAAAGGTCATACAAATCTATGCATTTTATATCTCTAAAATGTGTCATATAGCCTGGAGATATCATGTGTTTGATATCTGGATAGAGGTGAAAGAAAATATGCTATTCCCTTGTTTATGAAGTGATTAATGGAACAGTTCAACCAAAAATGCTCCAAACCTGTATGTTAAGCATTTTTGAAGACTTGGAGCTCGATATGATAGTTTATCATAATCACATCTGCCAAGCTCCGAAAAAGCTTATAACAAGATTATATGTTGTATTGTTACATATATTTAAAAAACATCTTTTTGTGTGTGTGTGTGTGTGTGTGTATGTATGTGTGTGTGTGTGTGTAGGCATGTTGAGATGGACTCTGCATAACAGGGTGGACAAAAATCCATCTATCTGTGTCCCTCTTTTGAGGGTTCTCATAAAAGAGCTTGAAAAGGTTTGTCCCTCAGTCATTCTTTCAAGTTATAGACATCAAAGATCTGTGCAGAACATCCAAAGATTTTTACAGTGAATAATAAGCTGTTTTGTCCTTGATTTGATTTATTCCAGGCGGCGAGAATCAATTCCAAGATTCGCATTATTCCTTTACTTCACACACTTGTCTACACGGTCCTACAGGTCAGATTTCTAGCTTTGTTTTTTCCACAGCGTCTGCGAATGCTTTGTTTGTTTTGTTTTTGTTTCCAGTCAGTGATACGGAATGAGTCTGTAAGCAAGTTCCCGGCAGATGTGTTATTGTAGGAACAGTTCCGTGTCTTAACTGGAAATCAACATGATTGGGTTGTTTTTCAGCCGTGTGTGATGCGTGTTACTCATCGGGTTTTCTGCTTTATTTCAGTCTGTATTTATTCCAGAAGATCTATATCGAAGGATGTATTTTTGCCTGAAAAGTTTAGTTACGTTACCTGAACCCTACTGTGCAATCGCGCTCAACTATGCAAGACAGATGAAAATGGAACAAAATGCACCAGGTAATATATGCAGTTACATTAAAGCAATAAAAGCATTTCTGGTGTAAATCTGGGGTTAAACCAGAATTAAACTGGGACGCTTTCCATGTATCAAACTAATTGTTAAACTGGATTTTTGGAGTTTCATTTTCAGTAAGATGCACTCATTTAACCTGATTTTGTTTACATGAGTATTTCTTACTAACCACCATTCATGCGAGGAGACAGCATGTTTGGATACAGTTTATCTAGATCAAATTTAAGACATTCCGAAGATGTACCACAGATACGACTTAAAGGGGTCCTATTATGCTTTTTCACTTTTTCAACTTTAGATAATCTGTAATGTTGCTGTTTGAGCATAAAAAAGATCTGCAAAGTTACAAAGCTCAAAGTCCAATTCAAAAGGAGATATTTTATTTAACAGAAATCACTTTTCAAAAACTACAACGAACGACTCGTTTGGACTACAACGCATAT